GGCAGAGGCAGAGGCAGAGGCAGAGGCAGAGGCAGAGGCAGAGGCAGGAGGATCCTTGTGAGTTTGAAACCAGCCTGGTCTACATAATGAGTTCCAGGACAGCCAGAGCTGTGTAATAGGGAGAGTTTGTCTCAAAAATTAAACAAGAAACAAAAGAATCAACCCTGCAAGGAGTGTCTTTACACTCAACAGGGACACATCTATTCCAAAAAGGTCACAGTTACTCCAATAAGGCCTCACCTACTCCAACAGGGCAACATCTACTCCAACACGGCCACACCTACTCCAAGGCCACATCTACTCCAACAAGGCCACACATACTCTAACAAGGCCACACCTACTCCAACAGGCCACACCTACTCCAAAAGGCCACTTCTACACTAACAAGGCCACATCTACTCCAACAGGGCCACAGGCACGCAAACAAGGCTACACCTACTACAACAGGCCACACCTACTTCAACAAGGCCAAGCCTCCTAATACTGCCACTCCCTGTGGTCCTACGGAATCTATTTTCTTTCAAACCACAAAGTCAGTAACTTCTAGAACTCAGGTTAGAGCTCTGAGCAGCCTCCTCCAAAGCCATATCCTTTAACCACAGGCTGTTCTGGTTGTGAGTCTCCACTGAAAACTCCACAGCGATCCGCGTCCTTCACGATAGTGCACCTTACTCACTTCCTCACCCTCCCATCCGCTAGCTCCTCTTTTCCTTCTGCTCAACCTGGAAACTTATCTATGGTGAACAAATACGAAAGCATCTTTATACCCTAAGAGCCTGGAACATTTGCGGGGCCTCACAGCCAGAGTTAATGATACACCTTGAAGTCTCTTAAGTCCTAAGACTGCTGTCCTGTACACTCAGTGTGTTTGTTTGATTTGCCTTCTGGAGAACAGTCAGCAACCAACTTTACTTGCCTTAGATTTCCCATGTCAGATTTTACAACCTAAGCTAACGCAGAACTGTAATCTTAAATTATGTACTCTTCCACGCCCCTGATACAATGTAATGCATGTGTGTGTGCACATGTGTTATGATAATCATTTGCTGAAAAGAGCAAATAGGCTGAAAGGGGCTTAATAAAATGAGTCTCAAGCATAAACGTTGAAGGTAACATGGATATTGCGCAATAGCGTGTGTTGTTTGTTATCTGGGTTATTTTGATGTCGGAGACGTTTGAAGGAGAAGCATTGATGCTGTAAAGGATTTACGAATAAACATTCTTCAGGAAATATTAAGTTCTGGGAAGTAGAATTGAGTTGAAGGAGCGCTGCCTCTGATACGACCTCAAGGTTAGTGTACTGACCACACTTGTTAGAAACACAAAAGAAACTTTTGTGACATAATTGAGAGGGTAGTGTGTGCTGTCGCTGTAGGGAAACCTACACGTGTGGAGGGTTTGACTAGTTAACCGTGCACTGCTACAGAGGACGTGAAATAGCAATGTAATTAATGTGACAGTAATTGTACCTATTGCGTAGCTGGTGAAGGGCTGGCTCCAACAAGGAGCAAGCAAGCATTACGTCTCTAATGCTCTGCTTTGTATGCTACTCTTATTTAATAGGACCTCTGCTGAATTGATCACGTCTGTGTTTTCCTTCGCGGTTATGTAAGCCAGATGATTTGGCCACAGGTTGGAAGACAAGTCACATGACTGAGACACGTGCAGACAGGCTGCAAAAGATTTGAATAACTGCTTAGACTGGACGGCCTTCAACCTGCTGTCCCAGCTTTAACAAGATCCTCTTACCTAGGAGATTTCCTCCGGCTCCACGGTGACTCCTGCGACTCCAGCCTTTCCCAGCCCTTGCTGAAGCTAGCTCTTCCTCAGGTGTGCAGTCGTAGGACAGTCCTCTTTGTTGGCGACATGAATGGGTGGACATGCGCACTGGCTACTGCGTTCCCCTTTGTGCTTTTGTAGACGTGCAGTGGATTTGTGTAACCTTTTTACAATACCTGTACTTATTATCCCATATTAGAAAGCTGATAACGTACCAACCAGGAGCACATGTCTTCCTACACAATCCGCCCATAATTGCCGCTTTTGTAGAATGGTGTACATTCCTGAACTAATTAGGGTCCATGCTAACGAACTCATGCAGCTAAAGAACCGAACTTTTGTTTTTGTTATTAATATCCATGACTTTTGGCAGCCTTGGACAATTATATGACACTTAGGCACATCTTTAGCTCTGTGTAGAACATCTCATTCTGACATCCACAAAAATTACAATATATATAATTTATAAAACCTTCTAACTGTAGACACTTTTGGCTTCCACAATCAACTTTGGGGAAACTAAAGTCAAAGACTTGCACTCTCTGCCTTAGTTTCTTTTCAACTCCAACCTGTGGGGCTGGGCTGTTTCTTATACATGAAGGATTACGTGTCTCTGGTTTTACTTTCAAAATTTGTTTAAATAAAAGAATTTCCAGGGGAAAATCCTAAACAACCCCATTAAGATATTTTGAGGGTGGGGGCTTGAGAGATGGCTCAGAGGTTAAGAACACTGGCTGCTCTTCCAGAGATCCTGAGTTCAATTCTCCACAACCACATGGTGGCTCAAGCAATCATCTATGAGATATTGAGATCTGGTGCCCTCTTCTGGCCTGTATGCAGAACACTGTAGTAAACTAAAAATTTTATTAAAAAAAAAATTCTAAGCCAGCTCTCCAGCGCCAGAGACAGACTTAAAATTAAAAGAGAGAGATGGTTCAGAGGTTAACAACACTGTTTGCTCTTCCAGAGGTCCTGAGTTCAATTGCCAGCAACCACACGGTGGCTCACAACCATCTATAATGGAATCTTGTGCCCTCTTCTGGGAAGCAGGCATACATGGAGGCAGAACAAAGTATACATAATAAATAAGTAAATCTTTTTAAAAAAAAAGAAAAGAGAAAAGATATTATGATTTTCAGTCAGGCACTGGTGGCACACGCCTTTAATCCCAGCAGAGGCAGGCACACTGCTTTGAGTTTGAGGCCAGCCTGGTCTACAGAGTGAGTTCCAGGACAGCCAAGGCTACATAGAGAAACCACCTCAAAAAAACAAAACAAAATAAACAAACAAAAAAAGATACCATGAGTTCCATATTCTACAGGTGAAGGAACTGAGTTGGGAAGGTTATGTGCTTCTGACTCACAAACACACACATGGGCATACATGGAAACGCGCACTCATTAACACCTAGACACATACCCAATCAAGCAAACACACACACCCTGACATGTATGCACTTGCCTGTACAGACACAGTCACATAGACGTTCAGGAGAAGAGCCAGACTGACATCCATATAGGACCTCTAACCAAGTGCCTATTTCTGCATGCTTCTGTAAAGTCAGCATTCACCCCACATCGATAGCACCCCGCCTCGGGCTTCTCAGGCAGGCTCCACCACAAGCTAGAGATTCCCGTGGAACACACAGAGTTCAATCTTTGGGACTTTTATTTCTTCCTCCTCTTTTTCTTCTTCCTTTATTCCTTCCCTCCGTTCTTCAATTCTTTTCTTCCTTGCTTTTATTATTGTGTGTGTTTATGAGCGAGGATGAGAAGGTATGGGTGCAGGCGCAAAGGCCACCGCCCGCATGTGGAGGCCAGAGAACCATCAGAACCTCAGTAAGAAGGGGCTTCTTGTTCCCCTGCTCTCCTACTCCAGGGCTGTGACTTCCTAGTGACTCTCACGTCCCCATCTCCTGGTTCACAGAAGGAAATCCAGGATTCTAAACGTGTGCCACCATCCAGAGGTTTCGTCTGAATTCCAGGCATCAAACTCAAGTTGTCAGCATGAGGATCCTGGGGCCGGCACTTTTACCTGCTGGGCTCCTGTTGGCCCCTCCCTCCCTTTTTTTGCTTGAATTAATAGAAATGAGCTGAGAGGCTGGTTTTGCAGATGTGCCAGTGTTCTGGGTGGAGCTCCCAGGACTCGGCTGTCCTTCCTGTGCTTGCACTTTGCAGGATGCAGCAGATCTGACAGAAGCCTGCCTCTGTGCACACCGATATCCCACTAGCCTGCCTCTGTACACACCAATATCCCACTAGCCTACCTCTGTACACATCGATATCCCGATAGCCTGCTTCTGTACACACCGGCATTCCATAAGTAATACTGTGTGGGAGGTTTGTACATTGTCCTCATTTTTCACACACGTAGAAACCGTTGTAATTGGCCCAGCAACATTGCAAGAGGCTAACAGAATGGTTGTGGCTTTTAGCTCCTCTTTTATTGGTTTCTGCTCTAATTCACTGCACAATGTTGTGCAATGTTTTGGAAATGGGCTCTGCCTTCCCACATTCTTTCCAAAGTCAAAGACGCAGGTCAACAACCCCTGTGTTGCAATGTTTCAGCCTGAAACCTGCTTGGACAGCTAGCTGAGTCCTATTTGTTCTCTGGGAAGAGGGCAAACAGCTTGTGACTGCAGGAATCCAAATAGGGTCCCAGTGGTCAGGCAGGGAGAAAGGAGGACTGGACAGAACAGACAGGCTGCTAAAAACAGCTGCTGAGTTGGCTTCCAGTTCTCATCAAAACCACCCCTCTGATTCTAGAGGGAAACTTGAATCATGAAGCTAATTACTATACTGTTCCTCTGCTCCAGGCTGCTCCTAAGTTTAGCAGAGGAAGAAACCACCCAGGAAATCGACTGCAATGATGAGGATGTGTTTCAGGCTGTGGATGCTGCTCTGAAGAAGTACAACGCTAGGAACCAAACTGGCAACCAGTTTGTGTTGTACCGAGTGATGGAGGGCACTAAAATGGTGAGTGACGGCTTAAACCCGAGATCACTTGTAATTCGTGCTCTCTGGCATGGGAGGAGAGGACAGGAGGTGGCCCGTCCTTAGGTGAGCAAGGGCGGCTTCCTGGATGACCCTAAGAGCCGTGTCCCGGGAAGACAGAAACAGCAGCAGGTGGAGATGTTTGAAAAGAACAAGGCACAGGGCGATCCAGCCTTGGGTCTGTGAACTCAATGACCTCCCAGTCTTAAGTGAGAATTCTGCATGGGGCTGAATCAAGGGAACAGGAAGAGAGTTGTCATTGTTGCCTTTGACCAAGGGAATACCACCGAGTGTATGTAGCTGATTCTTCGAGGTTTATAACAATGTATGCATTAGTTTTCTTCAGTCTTGGGGGATGCAGGAAGGTTGAGGCAGGGTGTCAGGCAGCCTCAGACTGACCACGAGCTTGCTATGGTGCTGCTGATAGATGTAAACGTTTCATCTTCCCATCTGTGTCTCCGAGTGCTTTGATTACAGGCATGTGCCACCATGCGAGGTTTATGTGGTGCCAGAGATTCAAACCCAGGACATGCTAGGTAGGCAAGGGCTTCACCAGCTACTTCTCCAGTCGGTTTCGGCTAGATTTGACTATGCTTTCGTTTCTGCCTTAGTCCACTCAGGCAGGAGGCAAATGCAGGCAGGATTCACAAATCAGAGAAAAACAAAATCATCAAGAATTTTAAAAATAGCTGGGTGAAAGCTCGGCAGTGGTGTGCATGTTTTTAATCCCAGCACTCAGGAGGCAGAGGCAGGTGGATCTATGTGTGTTTGAGGCCAGCCTGGTCTATAGAGCAAGTTTCAGTACAGTTAGGGCTGTTACAAAGAGAAAACCTGTCTCGAAAAAAGTAAGACAGATAGATAGATGATAGATAGATAGCCAGACAGATAAATGATAGATTAATAGATATATTGAGTTCACAGACTAGAGAGGTGGTCGGTGGTTTAGGGCACTGGCTACTCTAGTAGAAGACCTGGCATCAGTTCCCAGCACCCATGGTCATTCAGAACCATCTATAACTCGGGATCAGTACCTCTTTTGGCCACAATAGGTAACAGGAACACATGTAGTATATGTACATATATATTCAGGAAAATACTCACACACATTTAAAACTTTTTTAAAATGTAGACATTTATTAAAATAATATAATAAATTTCACTTTTAAAGACTCTTCTTTGGATTGGTCAAGTTACTGCAGCAGGAGAAAAATCCAATAATTTGACATGAGAATAAAAAGAAACCCTAATGGATGTAGACTTGTTTGTTTTCCAAAGGTAAAACGAAGCCTTTTGTTTCTCGCTACAGCACAGTTCGCATTCTTTCCCCAGACGCTCTGGGCCACTGTGCACTGCTGTCTCCATTGGATGATGGATGGGTACATGGGAGTTTGTTCTACAATGTTCCTGTAGTTGGCTTCCCCTCCCGGACACTGGGGGTCCAGCCCAGGGTACATGTCACCCAAGCTCCAAGCTGGACCCTGGCCTTTGGGGTTTTTGAGGCAGGGCCTCCTTACGTAGCTCTGCTGGCCTTGAACCCAAGGCCCTCCTGTCTCAGCTCCCCAAGTGTGGTACCCAGATTACAGGCTTCGCACTATGCCCACCTTCGACCAGACATTTAAAGATCCAGATATGTACATGTAAACTAGGTTTCACAAAAAGAGGGCAGGGCTAATATTATAGATGCTGCTTTGGAATCGTTAAAAATATAAATATATTTTGAGCATTCTTCCAAGAAGTATTTATGCAAATGTAAACGTTTATATTTGAAGAAACAATGCTCCTTGAGTCTGAGAAGGACAGATATTCGTAATGCATCAACTCCCACATATTGGCTGCCGAGTCCACTGAATGACTCCAGTGTTACCCTTGCTTTCCTCAGGTTGGTTCTGACACATTTTACTCCTTCAAGTATCAGATCAAGGAGGGCAACTGCCCTGTTCAGAGTGGCCTCACCTGGCAGGACTGTGACTACAAGGACGCCGAGGAAGCCGTGAGTCTGCTCTTCATTCCAAAGTCCCCAGCCTGCTGCGTGGAACCCTTGGGGCTCTGTAACATTTAAATGAGTGTCAAACTGATAGATCAAACATAAAGCTTGTACACATGGTGGGGTACATCTGAGGATTTGATCCCCATGGGTTTGTTTAAAGCCGGGTACCTGTCTCCTCAGGCAGTCATCAGTCCTTTACGGTGACAAAATTCAAAATCCTTCCAGCCGTTCTGCAAGAACAATTTAAAATCCTTGTCTGTATTTACTCTGCTCCTAGCAAACTGTCACTCAGTATTCTTGCCCTGTCCTGTCCCAGCCTTCAGTGTTCTGCTCCTAGCTTCTGTGACATCACCCTTTGCTGGCCTTACTGTCCTGTGCCTGATGCTTTCACTAACCTGCTGGTTTCCAGTCCCTTCCGTGTTGCAAGTGACAAGATTTAATTCTTTAGAATTCTTCCCTTATGTATACACACCAACTTTCTTGCCTACTCAACAGCGACAGACTTTCTTAATTACAAGGGCATTCTTTCTAGAGTTTGTTTATGAAGGATGCACATAAAATACTACTCTATAGGAAATTTAGCCTCATTCTGTCTGATTTCTTGAGAGGACAGAAAACCAGGAACATGCCAATCATTAAACAGTCCTATTGTCCTCTCATGAGAAAATGGTCCTAATAACCAACCAAAGCTTGTGTGTCAAATCCCACAGAGACAGCAGATAGGCATTTGGGCTGAGTTTAAGGTCTAGTGAAGAAAAATATGGGAACTTCAGCTATACTGGGCCTAAGTACAAATCTTGACTTTGCCTCCTGGTGATAGGAAGCCACTTGGCCTTCCTCTGTAGGTGCTTTAAACTATTAAAACGAGACAGCCTGGAGGAGGCTGAAACGAGATAAACTAAACAAAGGATCCTGTTGACAGTAGGCATCTTAAAGACACTACAGATCTAGCAGCGGATGGATGCCTTGCACTGGTGAGAGGGGATGGCGGGCAGTCATCCTCCTGAGAAGCAGATAATTCTCATAAGCTTGGACTCCCCTCCTAGATGGGATGTCAGCATCCTCCCGAGTATGCTCACACTGTGGTCCTCCATGGTTGTAAAAGAGCACATGGCACTCCAGATTAGGAGACCAGGATTGCAGTGCTGGCTCTGCCCCTCACTGAGCCTGTCTGGCAGCTGTGCCCTGCAGAATCTCTCATAGCTGCAGGGAGGTATCGGGGTGAGTTCTAGCCTCACATGATAGCTCCTGACACTCAGTACAGTGGATAAGGCTGAAGAACAAGGCAAAAAGCACAGTTCAGCACCATGCGTGGACAGCCGCCATGGAAGCACCAACTGTGTGCTGCTTCACTGGGCTCCTTCTGCCTGTTAGCACGTTTACTCCTCACAATGACCTGTTACATGCATGTGGTGTGTCTTTACACGGTGGGAAAACGGAGGCATTGAGAGGCACCAGGGCAGAGGGAGCTGGCACGCAGCAGAACGGAAGTGGGATATTCTAAGAGCATAAACCAAAGATTATGTAGAGAGCATGAACGCACTGACACTAAAAGGAACATCAAAGAGGAGGCTTAGCCTGTTTTCCCGAGGCACAGTGTCCATCTTGGAGATAGAGAAGCCTCTAGGACTCCACTTCGGGGCTCAAGTTCAGAAGCCTTACTCTGCCTCTCCCTGACCCTTGGAGATCAGTGGCCTGTGGGAGCAGTCACTAAATATCCATTCTCATGTCTCTGAATTTTGGTAGAGGACTGGAGAGATGGCTCAGTGGTTAAGTGCTGTTGCGGAAGTTCTGGTAGTTCCAAGGTGGATTCCATAAGCTCCTGTGACTCTAGTTCCATGGGATCTGACGCTGTCCTCGGGCCTCTCCAGGCACCAGGATACATACAGGCAAAACATTCATGTACATAAAATCAAATAAATCTTTAAGAAAAAACTATTAGAAAAAAAAACGTTAAATCACAATTAGCTACAGTTCTAGCTACATGCATCAATGAGGAAGAAGGATTTGACCAATTGGCCTCTTTCTTTTCTTTTAGGCCACTGGAGAATGTACAGCAACAGTGGGGAAGAGGGGAGCTAAGAAATTCTCTGTGGCTACCCAGACTTGCAAGATCACTCCAGGTGGGTGATACATCAGGGGGACTTCCCTAGGGGTGGCAGCAGGTAGGAGCCTGCCGTGGGCATTAATTATGCGTATGTACCAGGAACACAACCCAGACCAGGCTACTTTACCTTTGCAGATGGTGACAATGGCAATGCCATCTGCAGTGTTAGGACTGTGGTAGATGTGTGGGCAGAGTAGCCCTACCCAGGTTTTTGGATTGGGTCAGGCTGTGTCAATCACCCCCTCAGACCTATCCTAACTCCTCCTGTGTTGTGTCAGCAGGGACAGTGTGGGTGGAGGCTGGCTGACAGAGGATGAGGAGGCTTGGACTTACCTCCAGTCCCACAGCGCCCCCTACAGGGAGGAGACTGTGGGCTTTGAGGTCGGCTCTGACCTGAAATCAGTCCAGGTTTTTATCATCTTCACTTCCTGTTTTCCTTGTCTCGGGAGGGAGAGAGCAGGACTGCACACTTCACAGGACTGGTGTGCTAGAAAATGAGATGATGAAAGACGCAATGTCTGGGCTCATCAGACGTAGATAGCAGACGTCAGCGAGAGCTCACGCTCACCAAGCACTTAGGTGCTGCTGTGGATCTAGGGACTTTACATGTATTAATTACCTCATATGGATGATGTATTACCTCATTCAACAATTACAGCTCTCCTGCCCCCACACAGCATGCCGACACCTCTTGCCAGCTTCTTCCTTCCAGCTCATGCATCTTCAACATTTTCATAGACATCCTTTCTGATCCCATTTTAGCCTCCTGGTTTTCCTAGCTCCTGCCAACCTCCATGAAATGCTATGTCTACACTCTCTCTGTTCTACCTGGTTGTCATTCCTCCATGGAAGTGACACTTAGTGTGTCCCTACACCCTAGTTCAGCACCTGGCGTGTGACAGCAGGGGCAGATGGACTTCAAGGAAAGGCCCCTCCTGGGCTGACTAACAAGAAAACCTCTTGCCTTTTATGCTGGTTGTCTTAGTTGGAGTTTCTGTTGCTGATGAGACACCATGACCACAATTCTTATAAAGGGAACCATTTATTTTGTGCAGGCTCAGTTACAGCTCAGGGGCTCAGTCCATTATCATTATGGCAGGCGGCACGCAGTGTGCAGATGGATGTGGTGCTGGCTACATCTTGAGCAGTAGGCAGCAGGACATGGACCATGACACTGGAGGGCACCATGAGCTTAGGAAACGTCAAAGCCTGTCCCCACAGTGAAGCACTTCCTTCTGCAAGGCCACACCTACTCCAGCAAAGCCCAAACTCCTAAGAGTGTCCCTTTCTTATGTGGTACCATTTACATCCAAACTACCCCACTAATCATGTGAACACAGAGAAGAGTGCCTTCCTGCCAGCTCAGAGCCATTCACTTTCTACCTGCCAATGATTTGTTTTAGATGATGTATGACATTTAAAAAAAATGGAAAGAAAAATCTGTTTGGTAGGGTTCTTCTCCAAGAGCCAAAGCATCAGGTTGACTCTGTCAGGTATAATGACAGGAAATAAATGGAGGGAGGCATTAGGGAGCTTCAGTTAACACAAAAATAATGATATATCTGTAATGTTTCCCTTTTATATAGTTGATATATTACTGTGATCATTAAAAACACATTAAAATAAAGGCCTAATGATGTAGCTCAGCTAGTGTCACCGTCCTGGAGGCGGTGGGACCTGTGAGCATGGAGCTGATCAATGAGGCAGACTAAAGTCTTCTGCAATAACCAACTTCATTCAGAGCCTCAGACGACTTATACCCTGAACATTAAGAAAGGTCACACGAGGGCCTTGAGACATGGCTCAGATGTTCAGAGCCCTGGTTGCCCTTCCAGAGGTCCTATGTTCAATTCTCAGCTCACAGTCATATGTAATGAGATCTGGTGCCCTCTTCTGGCATGTAGGCATACATGCAGCCAGAACACTGAATGCATAATAAACACGTAAATCTTTTTTTAAAAAAAAAATCAATAGGAAAGAGAAAGACTGCATCAGTAAAGTTCCCATGAGCACATGCTGTATACAGTCACAAGGACAAGCCACACTGTGGCACTCAAGTGTTTCTCCATAGAGGCATACCAAGGAGAGTTTCCATATTTAATTGACTAACAAGAACAAGCAGTTAATTCGCTCGTATTCACTACCCCTGGGAGGGACCCAAAACACATTCCAAGACCAATTCTGTGTTTTGAAGCAACTGAGGTCACAAGACCCTTGTCTTGTTTCTTGAAGTGTTCTCATTGACGCTCAGAATTCTCCTCGCACGACTCCATTCCTGGGCCTTTTTCTGACAAGTTAGTATGTATGCCTCAATGCCTGGGTTCAATCCCCATCACCTCAGAAAGCAGACACAGAGGCCTTCAGAGAAAAGTAGAGGAAGGAGGATTAGACTCCCAGGCCATCCTTAGCTACACAGAGTTCCAGACCAAGACTGGGGTATAGGAGACCCATGTATAAAAAATGAAATAAAAAAATATAACATAAAAAAAACTATTCTTAATCCTCTCCACTTTCCCTCTGACTATACAGGAGGCCTAGACTCTCATAATGATTAACTCATATGGGAGTTATTGAAAAGTCAGTTATCAGGAGTTTCTAAATGGTTTGGGTTTGGGATGGTGTATATGAGAGATGTTTTCAGTAGTAAATGCTGTCTCTTTGTCTGCTCTTTGTCAAGGTAATGGACCCGTACTCACAGCCCAATACACGTGTTTGGGCTGTGTACACCCCATACCACCTGATAGCCCTGAACTGGAGCCTGTCCTGAAACACGCAGTCGAGCATTTCAACAACCACACCAAGCATTCCCACCTCTTTGCTCTTGAAGAAGTAAAAGCAGCCCAGAGACAGGTTTGTTTTTTCAGTTTTTTACGACATGGTATGGTTAAAAATTTGTTAGATTAGCATCTTGTCACATAAAATAAACCTGTGTGGTTCCTACTGTTCCTTCTGCCAGGAGGAATCTGTCCGGCCTCATGCTTTATGGTACTGGAGCGTCCCTCTTCGTTTTCACGAGAATAGCTCTTAAAACAAGGGCTTTCCCTAGGGCCCAAGTGAGCAGAGTGACCCATACAAAGGGAAGGGTGATGCACATCTTCTTCCCTTGGAGTTTGCTTGTGACAAATAGTTCAACATTTCATGAAATTGTCATTTTGGTTTTAGGATATTGACAAATCTGTATTACTATCTTGTTGTCATTAATTAAATACTGCCTCAAAATATTGAATTGGTCCTAAAAAGGTGGACATGACTTCCTGGGAACACCCTAAATTATACTTGACACTCGCTCAGGTTGGTGAAGTGGAAATAGCTATCTATTCCATAGTCATCTGATTATTTATCTATCTATGTATTTGGGGTTTTGTTTGTTTGTTTGAGGCAGGGTGTCTCTACAAAGCCCTGATTGTCACGGAGCTCACTATGTAAACGGGGCTGGGGCCTCAAAATCACAGAGATCTGCCTACCTCTGCCTCTATATCATTCTCCACCTTCAATTTAACTTGCCACTGTGGGAGATTTGTATTTTGCCCTTCTGTGTCCATGGACAGAGATCAGCATGAGGGTGGTATGTGGTCAGTATTGAGAAGGTGGTCAGCATGGAGTTTGTGGTCAGCATGGGGAAGGGTGGTGGTCAGCATGGGGATGGTGCTCACCATGGGGATCCTGTGTATTCAGCATGGAGTTGGCAGTCTCTGTGGGGCCTGTCAAGAACGAAGAGGAGAATTTCACTCCCTGGTGACTGTAGACCAGTAGACTCACCAGGAAAGGTCATTCCCATTTCTCACTCCTCCTGTATAGACAATTCTATTGTTTTCACAAAGCCAGGGGAAACGTGCCCTCTTGGCAACCTGGAGAAGGAATGATTGTGGGGATTTTATTTCAAGAAATATAATGTAAATATGTATATATAGATGTGCATATATGTACATATATAATTTACAATTACATTGGAGTGTTTGTGTGTAATTTGCAGTTACATGGGAGTGTATGTGTGTGCGCGTGCACACATGTGCGAAGATACTCAATTTTTACTCAGTGATCCCTTTGCCTGGTAGCAATGATGGTGTGTATTCTCTGAGCACTTACTCAATCCAATTCAATGTTTAAAGATGTTAATAACTTTCGTTCACTGTGATCAATGTTCATGATGAACTTCAAGTACTCACTCAACCTAAAATCATTTCAGGTGGTGGCTGGACTGAATTTTGAAATCACCTACTCAATTGTGCAAACTAATTGTTCAAAGGAGCAGTTTCCACTCTTATCTCCAGAGTGCAAATCCCTTGCGGATGGAGTAAGTAGGCAAAAGTTGAATGACTGTCTTTAATATTTTGTTAACGGCATGACGGGACTGTCAACCCTGTGGGAAGACTGTCCCTAAAACTGAGATATGGTTTGGTAGTTCACATCCATGGTCACAGAGGATCTCTGGGCCCCACGCTGCTGGGCAGAGACTCTGCACACGTCACACTGAGTATTTACCTTCGCCAGGGATGAGGCCTGGGGCTTGGGCTGCCATCCTTTCCTTGTCTCCTCTGACGTCATGTGTGCTCAGCATTCCACAGGCTCTTATAGACCCGGCTCCTTACTTCAGCTCTTCCCTTCCTGTTTCTTCATCTTCTCAATTCTACTTTCATGTTAGTTAACACGTTCTGGGATTCTAGCCCTCTGGGGATGACATCCTGGCACTCACTGGCCCTAGCTGAACGGGAGAGCTCCATGGTCAGTGAGAGACTCCATCTCAACCAATAAGGTAGAGAGGAACTACGAAAGGCCTCTGACATCAACCTTTGGATTCTGAATTTGTGTGCAAACACGTGCATGTGCATGCACACAGATGAAGGTATGCACACCTAATATACAAGCAAATGAATCAATCTACACTAAGCAGAAAATTAGTAGATGTCTTTGCAACTACACTTCTAGATGTCTCCCCAAAGGAACTCAAAAAAAAGCTCAAACAGAGAAAGTCATGTTCCCAGCAGCACTACTCAGAGAACCCAAAAGTATAAACGACCCACATGCCTATCAACAGGGGTCCTACTCAGTTGTGTTGCTGTGATAAAATACTGACCAAAAACAACTTGGGAAGGGAAGGCTTTATTTGATCACAAGTCACAGACTCTTACTGAAAGAAGTCAAGGCAAGAACTCAAACAACAGCCTGGAGGTATGAACTGAAACACAGAGCTGCTTACTGGTTTGCTGACCAGGTTGATTCTTGTACCTCCCAGTAGCACCTTCCTAGGGGGTAGGACCATCCATGATGGGCTGGGAGTCAATATGCCAATCATTAATAAAGAAAATGCTGGGTCTGGTAAAATGGCTCAGCACTTAAGAGCACTTATTGTTTTCCAGAGGACACAGTTTGCATTCTCGGCTGAGCCACAACCTTCTGGAACTTCAGTTCTAGGGTTTCTGATTCCCTCTCAAGGCCTCAGTGGGCACCAGGCACATGGTAGACACATGCATGTTGGCAAAATACTTGCACATACAAAATAAAATTTTAAAAAAGAAAGAAAAAGATGTTCCACAGACTTCACAAGCCAATCTGATGGAGGCATTTTCCCAGTTGAGGCTCCCACTTCCTACGTGATTCTCGTTTGTGTCTAGCTAATAAAAAAACTAACCAGGACAGCAGGTGAATGGATGAATAACACACTGTATACATACATCAAAGGATGATGCACCTACAACATGTGTGAACCCTGAAGCATGGGATAAATGAAGTAAGTCAGACACGGAAGTATAAATATTATATGAAGCCATTTATACGTAATATATAAGGTGAGCAAATTCAAAATGACAGGAAGTAGATGAACATTCAGAGGAGCCAAAAAAGGGTAGGATGCTTGTCTATTGCTTGCTTGATTTATAATTTCTGTTGGTGTAAAATTATTTTTTAATGCAGCAGTAAAGATTGTATAGCATGGTGAATTTTAATTAGCAACAGCTAATTCCACAATTTTCAATGCTTTATTTTTTTTTACTTTATTACTTAAAAAAAATACCAATCCAAATTCCCACTCCCTCCCCCATACCACTCCCCTTCCACTCCTTCTACAGTCCCTCCTACCCCACCCCCTCCCATCCTAAGAGAGGATTGCACCCCGCCCTATGGAAAGTCCAAGGCCCTTCCTACTACATCTTAGTTGAGCAAGATATACATTCAAAGAGAGTAGAATCCCAAGAAGCCAGTACATGCAGTAGAGACACATCCCAGTATCACTGTCAGTGGCCCCTCAGTCTGCCCCAACTGTCAACCACATTCAGAGGGACTAGTTTGATCCCATGCTTGTTCACTCCCAGTCCAGTTGGAGTTGGTGAGCTCCCATTAGCTCAGGCAAACTGTCTCAGTGGATGAACCCTTCATGGTCTTGAATTCCTTGCTCATACTCTCACTCCTTCCACTCTTCAGCTGGATCTGAGGAGCTCAGTCCAGTGCTCCGATGTGGGTCATTGCCTCTGTTCCCCATCTGTTGTTTGTAGAGGGTTCTATGGTGATATTTAAGATAGTCATCAGTCTGACTACAGGGTAAGGCCCATTCAGACACCCTCTCCTCTATTGCTTAGGGTCTTAGCTGGGGTCATCCCTGTGGATTCCTGGAGAGTTTTCTAGAGCCAGGTTGCTTGATAACCACATAACGGCTCCCTCAATCAAGATATCTCTTTCCTGGCTCTCATATCTGTCCTTCCTCCATCTTGACTATCCCAATGACTCAAGTTCTCCTCAACCACCCCTTCTCCCCTTCCTTCTACCTCCTGCCCCCATGCTCCTAAATTTTTGTCTGTTTCCAATTTCCAGGTGGGTCTATATATGTTTTTCTTTGGGTTCACCTTCTTACTTAGTTTCTCTGGAATCATGAACTATAGGCTCATTGCCCTTTGTTTATGACTAGTATCCACTTATGAGTGAGTACATACCATATTAGTTTTGGGGGGGTCTGGGTTACCTCACTCAGGATAGTGTTTTCTAATTCCATTCATTTGATTGCAAAATTCAAGATGTCATTGCTTTTTTTTTACCGCTAAGCAGTACACTAATTTGTACATGTCCCACACTTTCTTTATCCATTCTTCAGTTGAGGGGCATCTAGGTTGTTTCAAGGTTCTGGCTATTACAAATAAATGGGACATCCTGAAACTGAGAAGATTCTGTAAAGCAAAGGACACAGGCAATAAAACAAAAGGCAGCCTATTGAATAGGGAAAAAATGTTCACCACCCCCACATCAGACAAAGGGCTGATCTCCAAAATATAGAAAAAACTCAAGAAATTAGACATTAAAATTCTAAATAACCCAATTAAAGAGTGGTGTACTGAACTAAACGGAGAATTCTCAACAGAAGAATTTCAAATGGCCAAAAGACACTTAAGGACATGTTCAATTTCCTTAGCTATCAAGGAAATGCAAATCAAAACAACTCTGAGATACCATCTTACACCTGTCAGAATGACTAAGATCAAAAACACCAATGATAGCTTATGCTGAAGAGGATGTAGAGCAAGAGGAAGACTCATCCATTGCTGGTGGGAATGCAAATTTGTGCAACCACTTTGGAAATCAGTGTGGTGGTTTCTCACAAAACTGGTAATCAACCTACCTCAGGACCCAGCAATACCACTCTTGGGAATATACCCAAGAGATGCCCAATCATACTACAAAAGCATTTGTTCAACTATGTTCATTCCAGCATTACTTTCAATGTTTTAAATGGAAAATTTACATTTTATATCTACATATCCTATATATCTTTATATCTTATTTCATATACACATAATATATTTACCACAGGCTCAGCGAGAGACCCTTCTCATAAGCTAAGGTACAGAGTCTGGAGAGGTGGCTCAACGATTATAAGGAAGCCCTGCTCTTATAGAGGACATGATGTTGCTTTCCAGCACCCCCATCCCAATCAGGGAGTTTATAAAATTCTTTAACTCCAGTGTCAAGAGATTCATCATCCTGCACTTGTGAACACACAGAAACAAACACACACAGAGAGAAACAGAGAGAAAGAGAGAGAGAGAGAGAGAGAGAGAAGTAACCCACTCACTTACACATTCACCATGTAGTGAACATTCTTATTTCCTGCCTCCCGTGTTTATTTGTAGCCATAGATACTCTCACGTGCTTCTGGTTTTCTTTTGCTGTCAGCTTCTATCCCTTTTTCTCCCCTTTTCCCTATGCAAGAATTTGTAAAGCAAGCATAATGTCTTTGATTTTTATTGGTTGTTTGTTTTCAAAATTTGATTTTAATTTCTGATTTTGAACCACCAGGATGTTGGGGAGTGTAGAGATAACGCCTTTGTGAATATCAATCAAAAAATTGCTGATTTCTCCCAGAGCTGTGACATCTATCCAGGTGAGAAAGCACATAGGGGGCCATGGGGAAGCAATGGGGCCTGCTTTCTTACTCAGCTGCACCCTGTCTATAAATGGCCAAGGCAAACCAGTGACAGAAGGAACAGTGTGTGCTCTCCGGGCCAAGGCCATCTTTAGGGCAATACCAGCTGACTTTCCTTTCCTTTTCTACAAATTGTTCTTAAATTTAGGGTTTTGAGTTGGAGAAGACTCATTTTAAACCATACACAGTGGAATCCCTCCAGATAAAGATGGGTCGCCCAGCAGGTTAGGATGGGAGGTTGTCTGTGAAAAGCTTATGGCTAAGTTGGCATTTCTCAAAAGAGAGCTGACTTCTCTCACAGTTACAAACAGTTCTGCACATGTCATAGCAGGAGGCACCGCTGTGCACACGTCATGACGAGAAGCACCAAGACACCGCTGTCCACTGCAGCCGCGTTGGAGGCTCATTCATTCATTCCTTTACGTTCACCACTGCCTTCCTCTAAGTTACACGTTTCTCCCAAGTTTACACTGAAGATGCAAAATTTTAAGCTGGATGCGGTGGCGCACCCCTGTAGTCACATCACCCGGGAAACTGGAGCAGGGGAGCAGAAGCTCTAGGCCAGTTTTTGTTCCATATAGACTTCCAGGCTGGTTTGGGATGATGAATTTTCTTTCACTCTAACCTCACATTGGGCACCAAAGGTAGTTGGTTGTTTCTTACTCTCTGATTCTTTTGGCTCTTTGTGGGGCCTGCCACCCAGCCCCAAATAAATCACACACAGAGTCTTATTCTTCCTTATAAATGCCTGGCCTTAGCTTGGCTTGCTTCTAGCCAGCTTTCCTTAACTTAAATTATCCCATCTTTTGCTGCTGGCTCTTTTCCTTTTCTTACTTCTGTATCTTACCTTCACTCTTCCTCCATGGCTGACTGGGTGACTTGTCCCTTCTTTTCTCACTTCTTGATCTCTCCTGCTCCTTCTTCTCTCCTCCCAGATTTTTCTTCCCTTTTTTTCACTCTGCCTGCCAGTCCTGCCTGTCTTTCCTCCTGCCTTGCGATTGACCATTCAGCTCTTTATAAGACAATCACATGTTTTAGACAAAGTATCAAAGGATCAGAGCTTCGCAGAGTTACATACATGCAACGTAAAAGATTGCAACACATCTTTGCCTCACAGCGTAAACAAATGTAACACATCTTAAATTATTATTTCACAACATTGGGACACATCAGAATCTGTCTGGAGGGGGAGGGGAGCAAAACAAGTGGAACATATGTCTCAACATGGTCAAAGGCATGCTTCCCTAAGCATCTGAGCTGTAAGGAGGACAAAGGAGAGAGGAAGAAGTGAGTGTCCCATGGATCCCCATCCCTTAACTCTGCTCTGCTCACTTCCCACCTTGTGAAAATGAGGGTGCTGGGCCTCTGTGTGACAGGAGCCAGGCTAGACTACTCTTTGGGTATACCTACTGATTTTAAATCTGTTTGTTTTTTCAGGAGAGGATTTGACACAACCACTTCCCGAGAGCTGCTTTGGATGCCCCAAGAACATACCTGTAGATAGTCCTTTGTTGACAGAGCCTCTCGGTCATGCCATCAAAAAGTTTAACACAGAGAATAACCATTCTTTCTTTTTCAAGATCGTCACAGTGAAAAAAGCGACATCCCAGGTCTGTAAACGGACACAAAAATGGGAGGGTGAAGTCTACGTGCAGATCGGTTGCTAATTTGATTCCCGGTCTTCACTGTGGTTGGGGAAACTGTACTTGGTAACAGAATTTCATGGTTTAAATTTCAACACCCAACTCCGTTGTGTGCCTGATTGTCTCTTTAAAGTTCTGTTTGCCAGAAGGTGATATCACACGCTTTTAATCCCAGCACTCAGGAGGCAGAGGCAGGTGGATCTCTGAGTCTGAGGCCAGCCTGATCTACAGCGCTAATTCCAGGACAGCGAGGGCTACACAAAGAAACCCTGTGTTGAAAAGCAAAAAGCAAAGTAAAACAACGCAAAAGCTGTTTTCTACCTGAAAATGTCTGGGGCAAAACTCAAATTAGGCAAAGTGTGACAAATGACTTTCAGACTCCAAGAATCTGGACAACCCCTGGAAACCACTATAGAGTTAGCAAGGTCCTGGGAAGGAAGAGCAAGGCTTTTCCTTTCAGCCTTTGCAGGCTCTTGTCTCATAAGAACATGGGTGTCAGGTGCTGCGGTGCACACCTATAATCCGAATGCTCAGAAGCTGAAGCAGGAGGATTGCCACAAGTTCTAGGTCAGCTTGGACTACATAGCAAGATCTGATTTAACACACACACACGCACACATTCACATGCACGCACACACACACACACACACACACACACACACACACACACACTAGAGGAGGGATGGGAGCTTAGAGGACTCAGCCACATCACTAGTCATTCATTAAGAGCCCATAGCTCTCACATGGCCTTGTTCTTTCTCCCTCCTTCTCTTTGCCATGGATGCCCTCATGTCTATATCTCTAGGGCCTCAGCTCCCCTTTCTCGCCCTATCAATAAAAGCTAGTTACCTTCATCTAGGATCAGAGAATCAGCTATAAAATAGCCTCTCTCCTTGATGACTCTGTGTGGTTATAAAAATACCTTCAACATTGATCTTACACCTTAGGATTGCTTTGGCTGTTCTCTCTTTTGTGGTTACATATGAATAATACATTCTTGTATTATTTTTTCTAACCCTGTGAAATATGGCATGATATTTTATATGTATTGTATCACTTCTGTATGTTAATTTTGGTAGTACAGACATTTTCACAATATTAATTGTGCCTATCTAAGATTATGGAGATTTTTATATTGCCTAGTCCCTTCTGCAATTTCCTTTTCCAATATCTTGAGAATTTCATTGTGAAGGTCTTTGACTTCTTTCGCTAGATATCTTTCTAAATACTTTTATATTTCTCTTATTTTTAGACAGTATCTCATTATATAGTCCAGGTTGTCCAGGAACTTGCTGTGTAGACCATACTGGCCTCAAACTCACAGAGATCTACTAGGTTCTCTTCCCAAGTGCTGGGATTAAAGCAAGCCACGCTGTGCTATGTCATTTCTCTGATTTTTGTCCCATTGTAATGTGTTATGTTTTGTTTTATCTTATTATATTATATGTTATTTCTTTTTATTCCTTAGAAGCCTGTTTGTTTTCGTTTTTTCCCCAGACAGGGTTTTTCTGTGTAACAGCTCTGGCTGTTCTGGAACTGGCTCTGAAGGCCAGGCTGTCCTCAAACTCACAGACATCCTCCTGCCTCTGCCTCCCAAGTGCTGGGATTAAAAACATGTGCCACCACTGCCCTACCTTGCTCTGATTTTTGAGAAATGATTTTCATCATTGTCTAGCACTGTAAAGATTTCCTTTTACTTTAGGCTTGCTGCCAGTATGTTTCTCCTAGAAACGCCCCTCCATTTTTTGACTTTCAAGTACAGTTGGAATTTATATTGACATACAGTATTCTCTACAAGGAAAACAAAATAGATGATAGATAGGTAGGTAGATAGATAGGTAGATAGATAGATAGATAGATAGATAGACAGACAGACAGACAGACAAAATTTGGCACAGCGGCTTCATGAACTGCAAACCTTGATCAGAACACCAGTGGTGGTGGCAGAGTGGGTGCAGTCTTCAACCCCGACTAGCTGTGCTGCATTCCCCGCCTCCCCCCGACACACAAGCTCTGTTAAGTTGAGCTGTCAGCACCAGGAAGCCAGGATGGCAACTCACACCTGTAATTCTAGTACTTGGAAGGTAGAGGCAGGAGGTTTGTGATTTTGACAACTACTAGCTACAGGTCACTCTGAGTCACATAATGAGATTTTTGTTCAAATAAAAAAATAAAAATTTAAAACATTGAGAATGTAACTCAATAGTAGGTCCCTGGTGAATCCTAGCACCCATTCCTAATACAACAAAGATAAAATCATAAAAGCATAGAGAAATATAAAAGCTTTCGGATGTTTTTTACAAAATGGAATTGTGGTATAAGTGTGTAATTCTCCTTTTTTTTCAGTAAGAACTGTCCTTCTAGGTCAATATGTACAGATGCATTCTATTTGATAGCTGTGTAATACAACAAACATGCACATATACGGTTCAATCCTATAATATATAATTGGATCACAAAATTGGGGTACTGTTTATAGACAATATTATATAGTATTTAAAACTGTTACCAAAGACAATGAGGAGGACTCTAAGAGAGACATACATGGATCTACACAGGAAGGAGAAAAAGACAAGATCTTCTGAATAAATTAAGAGCGTGGGAATCACAGGATAGGATAGAAAGGGAGAGGGGAATCAGAGAAAATGTTGAGCTCAATAAAAACAATTTTAAAATAAGCTGTTATTAAATACTTAACTGGAAGGGCTGCTGAGATGGCTCACTGGTTTAGAGGGCTGGCTGCTCTTATGTAGGACTGAAGTTCAATTCTCATGACCAACATGGTAGCCTTCAACTCTCTGTAACTCCAGATGTCCTCTTCTGAGCTCTGAGGACACTACTGCACCTGTGTGTTGTACAGATGTACTTGCAAGAACACTTACACTGCCAAGTGGTGGTGGTGCATGCCTTCAATGCCAGCACTTGATGCCAGCATTGATTCAATGCCAGAGGCAGTTGAATCTCTGTGAGTTTGAGGCCAACATGGTCTACCAAGCGTGTTCCAGAACAGCCAGAACAGTTTCACGGAGGAAACCTTGTCTCGAAATATCAAATTAATAATAATAATAATAATAATAATAATAATAACAATGAGAAGCAATAGATAATCTAAATATTTTCCCAATTGCATATTAATCTAAGTAAGAATTTACTGATTCAGTATTTGGCAGCAAGACAACAAAAAATGTTTAAAGACAATAATTGAAGTTGCTCTTCCATACCTCGGATTGTATTGTAACCTAAATTCTGAGTCCCTGGTGAACGCAGTTTGCAGCTCTTGAGCCTTAAAATTGATATGTGTGGATGAAAGTAAACACTGTAGCCAGCTTCTCTTGTACATAGTAAAGGAATCTACCCAATTAATGTCAAGAAATCCTAGATATGCATACAAACCTAAAGTCTGTATCAGATATTGGTAGCTTGGGGAATATGACTATTAAAATGATCAGTGCATAATTAAAATGTCAAGGCTCTAACTTTTAACTCACCAGAGTAAAAAAGTATAATTTGTTACACTAATCCTTATTAAACACTTATCTTGGTTTTACCCTGTAAAGATTTCTTTCTTGTACTTGTTTAATAAAATGCTGATTGGCCAGTAGCCAGGCAGGAAGTATAGGCGGGATGACCAGGCAGGAAGTAGAGGTGGAGCAAAAAGAAAAGAAGAAATCTGGGAAGAGGAAAGCTCAGTCTGCCGTCATCACCCAGATGTAGAGGACACAGATGAGAATGCCTTGCTGATGAAAGGTACCAAGCCACATGGCTAACATAGACAAGAATGATGGGTTAAGACGTAAGGAATTAAGTAATAAGAAACCTAAGCTAATAGGCCAACCAGTTTATGATTAATGTAGACTTCTCTGTATTTCTTTGGGTTTAAACAGCTAGGGGACTGGGTGAGACAGAAACCTCTGTCAACATTGTTCTAATTAACTTTACAGGTGGTAGGTGGAATGAAGTATTTTATTGAGTTCATAGCCAGAGAAACGAAATGTTCGAAGGAGAGTAACACAGAACTGAAAGAAGATTGTGAAGTCAAGTCCACTGGTGTGAGTAGCAGGGGGCCTGGGTGATGCTTTAAAATTTCTTGTTCATGGGCCTCATGACTAACGATTTGCCTCTTGGCTTCTGCTTTCCTGATCAGCAAAGTCTCAGCTGCAGTGCTAACGTGTACATGAGACCGTGGGAGAACAAAGTCGAACCGACTGTCAAGTGCCAAGTATTAGAACTGGTAGGAGCTCAGTTGCGGTCAGCTTGGGGTCAATTCTGCCTATGATTCCAAAAACTCCTATCTGGGTATTCAAAATGAATCATTACTGAAAATAACCTGTGGAGGGTATCTTTTAAAAATAGTAAGATGTTATACGGTTCTACACTGATTTACCCTGCATTTTAATAGGTCTTCAAAGGGCTCACACACATGATTCATGTCTGTAAGGCGTGACTCTACATCATCCTTTTAAGTCTTTACAGAATGATCCATGAGAATAGAGCTTTGTGAATTGTCAAAGATGGGACACTAAGATTTGAAATGCCAGCCAGGCCGTGGTGGCTCACGCCTTTAATCCCAGCACTCAAGAGGCAGAGGCAGACATATTTGTGAATTTGAGGCCAGCCTGGTCTCCAAAGTGAGTTCCAGGACAGCCAGAGCTGTTACACAGAGAAATCCTGTCTCTAAAAACAAAAACAACAGCAACAATAAAAACAGAAGAAAAAGATTTGAAAAGCTGTGAGGCTCCAAAGTGAATTACATCACTATATCCCTTGTCCCAGGCTCTGCAAAGCAAATGTCTCGCACACTCTCACCAGTCCTTAGGGCCCTGGGAGGCAGTGCTGCTATTTTTCTTTTACAGAAAAGTGAAGGCAGTTTGTACAGCATCGAGAGCAGGTCAAATCAGAGCTTCCCCTTTCCATCCCGATCCTCACGGCTAGATCTGGCTTGGACCCTGGCTTCGCCTGTCTCCTCTCACAGGTCGTGACAGTGGAGGTGGCTCTTATTCACGAAATCATGCTTTCGTGCAAGTTGCCACCTTTCTCTAGTTTAGGACCTTGCCATTTGTATGCTGTCTCTAAATCACTGTAAAAAGCCTTGTGATCAAGCTTGCGAGTAAGCTCCAGGGTGGTTCAGCTGAAAAAGAGAAACTGTGACGCTGCTCAAGCCTTTAAGGATAAAACCAGTAATGACTGTAACAGAAATGATATCAGGCCGGGCTGTGGTGGCACACGCCTTTAATCGCAGCATTTGGGAAGCAGGGACAGGCAGATCTCTGTGAGTTTGAGGCCAGCCTGGTTTACAGAGCAAGGATCAAAAAAGACTCCAAAACTACAAAGAAACTCTGTCTCAAAAAAAAAAAAAAAAACAAGAAAGAAAGAAATTAAATCAGGTAACAAACAGTGTACTCTTACGTAGTTCAAACACCCAGTTTTTCCAAATGAAGAAAAGCCCTTAGCCTTGGAATATCATTAAGAACAATAACAGGCAAGGTTAGGGATGCATCAGTGATTGAGTACGAGTCCAACAGGCATAAGGTCTGGAGTTCAGTCTCCAGTACCACAAAGTCCACAAATCTTAAGAACAATTAAAAGAGAAGAAATATTATTAATATATTTTCTCTAGAAAATTAATATTGTATTTAAAATCTGGAAAGAATCACCCCGGTGTAAGCCAAAATGGCATCACCAGGGTCTTAATCTCTGCTTCCCTCATTGACAGCCTGAGTCTAACAATGCATTCATCTTAATAATTCCTTTCTAGATGAGGAGACCTCCAGGCTTTTCACCTTTCCGGTCAGTCCAAGTCCAAGAAGCAAAAGAAGGAACAACTGTAAGTCCACCCCATACTGCCATGGAGCAAGAAGAGCAGGAAGCAGAGCATGAGCCAAGAGCCGCTGAGGGGCAGGAGAAACAGAAAAAGCATAAGATTGACCACGGTCATAAGCATGGGCATGGCCAAGGCCATGGGCCCCCAAAGACACATGGCCTTGGCCTTGGACATCAGAAGCAACATGGCCTTGGCCATGGACATCAGCTTAAATTGGATTATCTTAAACCCCAAAGGGAAGACACTTTTGACCATGAACATAGAGAGGAACATGCTCATAAGCATGGTCATGGGCACAGTAAACACAAAAATCATAACAGGAACAGTGGCAAGCACACTGAGGAGAGAGCAGAGCCTGTGGCAGGCGCTTCTGAAGACAGCTCTACATCCTCCACACAGACACAGGGGAGGACCACCCCTAGCCCTACCCCAGCTCAGCCCCGTGTCGCGGTTACCCCTTCTGACTTTCAGAACTCAGATTTAATCGATGGTGTGGTGGCTACCACACCACCATATGCCATGGAGGCCTTTGATGATTTCATCCCTGATATCCAAGTCCAACCAGATAGCCTTTCATTTAAGCTGATATCTGACTTTCCAGAAGCAACAGCCCCCAAATGTCCTGGACACCCATGGAAGCCAGTTAGTAGAAAGGATCCAACCACAGAAATGGGAGAATTTTCTGATTTTGATCTCACTGATGCTCTTTCTTAACTTATACAGCCTGCTAGCTCAGAGAGGTAGAGAAAGCATCCAGCTGACCTTCCTCTTCCACTGGTCTCCCAGGAGCCAGTGTCTCAAATAAGTCATCGCCAACTCAATGTCTGTCCCCTCTGCTTCTTCTAAGTCTCTCTATCCATCCTCCTGACTTCCTCTGACTTTCTACGTGTTTTCCTGATAATCTATGTTCACTTCCTGTCAGCTGTTTGCTCTCTCTGCCCCTTGACCTATGACTGATTGTATTTAATCCTGTTTCTGATACTCAGGCAGAAAGCTCTCGTATTAAAGGTGTGTGCTAGGGCTGAGCCACACCACAACGAGAAACAGGTTTTTTTTCCAGTAAATAATGAAATCTCGGGGTTCACAGTGTGTTCAAATATCCTGTAAAACTACAGCTTTTCGTTCCCATTGGTGAGTCAACCAGACTCCATTAGACAATTCCATGCCCAAGGAAACTAAGACACTCTAGTGGTCACTAAATGAACAAACAAGATAAATGGACCTATAGGGGGGGAGGGGGCACTAACAGATATGGGAGGGAAAAAACAGAGAGTGGGGATAAGAACAATCAGAACATGCCAGGCAGTGGTGGCGCATACATTAATGCCAGCACTTGTGAGACACAGGCAGGCAGATCTCTGTGAGTTCGAGGCCAGCCTAGTCTGCAGAGGGAGTTCCAGGATAGTCTCTAAAAGCTACACAGAGAAACCCTGTCTTGAAAAACCAATGAAAAAGCATAATCAGAAATATATATGTGAAATTGTCAAAGAACAACAAACGTGTGTACATATATAGATATATATGTACATGTAAATGAATATATGTATATATATGAAATTGTCAAAGAAAAATTTAGCTTGCTAAAAATATTGACAACAAAGAACCAAAACATATATAAAAGTGAAAAGTTTGACAATACTGTAAGGATTAATGGGACTGGAGAGATGGCTCAGCAGTTACAAGTACTCACTGGCTGCTCTTTCAGAGGTCCTGCGCTCAATTACCAGCAACTACATGGTGACTCACGGTGGTAAAGAAATCTGGTACCCTCCTCTGACATAAGTCATACATGCAGAAACAGCACTCATATACATTAAATAAATAAATCTTTAAAAGAAGGAATCACCAAAATGTGAAAGAGACAGAAAGGGATTCCCACACCACTGAATAAATGTTATGAAGGGAGTCTCATACTGCAGAGTTGCCATAATCCTTGGATTTAGAAAAAGCAAAATATCTACAGACAGGAATAAAGTCAAGAGCAGGGAGGGAAAGTAACAATGTGGCTTTTAACAACCATGTCATGCTGCGAATCCATGCATTGCTGCTGTTTGGATTACCGGAAGCATTGAGCTCCGAGTGTTTCTTTCATTTCAATATTGTCTCCATTTTAAAATAAAGAACCAGTGACACCAGGAAACCTTCTCACCTTGTCAAGCAGTTCATTGTTTTGCAAATATTGAGCATGAACTTCAAATTAACAGAGTTTTGCTGTACTTACAGAGGCTTGCAAACACCTGCGAGTACAAGGGCAGACGCTCAGGGGCAGGGGCAGAGTCAGCGCCTGGGAGTAAGGCAGAATCTTCACACTTGGCACAATAGCCCCAGCACGACCCCAAGTGGACAGAACAGAAGAATCATGGGATACATGTAACATGGAAGAATGTCCCTTCGGCTCTCTGCCTCCGTGTGAAATAAAATTCAGATTTGATGAGTTCACAGTGGTCTCCTTTAAGCCACACCTGTACTATAGCCAGCTGAAGCCATCACCAAAGCTTGAGTCCGGCCACAGAAGCTTACAACCCCACTCTGGAACATTCCCTCTAAATTAGATAGACTTCCTTCTCACTGTGACGCCGTGGGTGCTAAGGGAAGGGTTAGGGAGTCCCATTCTGCCAGTATCCAAAGCTTAGCTCTTTGTTCTTCACCCTGCTCCTGCTCCGCAAGCCCATGCTAGGGATAATTAGACATGCTCAGTAATATTTCTAAATCTGGGCGTTACCCAGACAGAAGATAATCTATGTGAACTCGATATCTACTAGCTTCTCATAATCATAAAATGTCCATGGACCATGATCGCATATACTTGTAATACCAGCACTGGGGAGACTGGGAAGGGAGGATTGCTGAGAATTTGAGGTCAGCTTGGGTTACATAGTGAGTTCAAGGTCAGCCTGGAATACATAGAGGAACACAGTCCTGACCCCACCCCACCCCCACCCCTGTGCGCAAAGAAAAAAACCTAAACCCAGCTCTGCGACTTGCCCATAATCCCAGGAACTGGGAGAAAGTAGCAGGTGGATCTCTGAGTTCAAGGCTAGCCTGATCTACAGAGTTCTAGGACAGTCAAGGCTACACCAGAAACCCTACCTGCCATCTGAGGACCTACTTGAAGAAATCACGCTCTCCACAAATAGAGCACCCCACTTCCCCCTTGCATGTGAACCCCACCCTTGCAGTACATACTTGAAACACAAGCTCCTGCCACAGATAAAGCCCTCACCCCAGCTCCTTCTGATGCTTTAGCCCGAGCCCAGTACAGCAATAGCCAATATCCCTTAAGACAAAAGCCCTGCAGAGAGACAGACATGATAGGACATGACTTAAATCTAGCACTCAGGGGGCTCTCTCTGAGTTGAAGCCATCCTGAAAGTCTGCAAAGCAAGTTCCAGGCCAGCCAGAGCTGCATAGTGAGATCCTGTCTCAAAAATCAAACAAACAAAAAAGAGCTCTGGAAGGAATATATCTCAATGCAATAAAGGCCAAATATGACAAACCCAGGGCCAGGATCATATTGAATGGAGATACACTTGAAGCAATAATTCTTGCTTGGTAACTGTCTTGTATATGTAATTTTGCTATGTTAAAGTTAAAATCTTCCTTTTTATTTAGGTAGACAAGTGGAGGTAATGTGGGATTCCTCTCTGTATGCTGTAAATATGTTTTGTTACCATTGGTTAATAAAGAATCTTATTTGGGCCTATTGTAGTGCAGAATAGAGCAAGGCAGGAATTCCAAGCAGAGATAGATGAAAAAAGAAGGTGGAGTCAGATAGATGCCATGTAGCTGCCAAAGGGAACAGAAGCTTCCCGGAACCGCGCCAGTAAACCACGAGCCTCATGGTAATACACAGAATAAGAGAAATGGGTTAATTTAAGATATAAAAGCTATGTAGAAATACTCCTAATCTACTGGCTGTAACATGAGGGGCTGGCTTGTTGGGGTTTCTTCCCCTCCCAGTACCCCACAACCGGCAAGAAACAAAGAAAATCACACACAAGACTCCATAAGATTTTAAACTGATTGGCCCATTAGCTCAGGCATCTTGTTAACCCTTGTAACTTATATTAACCCATTATTATTATCTATGATAGCCATATGGCTTGGTACCTTTTTCAGCTGGGCAGGTTACATCCTGCCTCTTCGGTGGTCTGCGCAGGAGTGGTGGAGGGAGCTTCCTCCTCCCTAGCCTTCTCCTACTCTCATTGCCCCACCTCTACTTCCTGTCTGGTTGACCTGCCTATACTTCCTACCTGGCCAATCAGTGTTTTATTAAAATACATGATTGACAGAATACAGACAATTCTCCCACATCAACTGGCCAAACAGTATTATAATTAACATAGTTTCTGTGATTATTTCGGGTCTGGAAAGCCAAGAACAAATGAGCAGCCTCTGCCTATATACAGCCATTTGATTTTTTTTAAAGATGCCAAGGTTATATACTGGAGAAAAGATATTATCTTCAACAAATGGTGTGGAGAAACTGAACATCTACACACACACACAAAAAAAAGACTAAAGGAATATTCTTATCTCTCACTCTACACAAAAATCAGCTCCAGATGCCTCAGGGGTCTCAGTGTAAAACCAGAAACTTCAAGAAGAAAAAGGAGGGCATACACAACAAGACACAGGCATGTGGAAGGGCTTTCTGAGTAGGACCCATGGTGCTCAGCAAAGAAGGCAAATGGGACAGGGGACTTCAGGTTCTGTAAACAAAGGAAACACTCAAGTGAAGAAGCAATCCTCAGGATGACAAGTTACACATCAAACAGAGGGTGAACATGGTGGCATGCAGGCAGACATGGTGTTGGAGAGATAGTTGACAGTTCTATGCATTGCACAGGCAACAGGAAGCAAACTGTTATCACTGGACATGGCTTGTGCATATATGAGACTTCAAAGCCAGCCTCCACAGTGACACACACAAGGTCACACCTACTGCAAAAAAGAACCTCCTAACAGTGACACTTCCACCGGGAGCCATTTCCTTTTAATCCTTCACATACCCTATCAACCAGTTATACCTACCATTCCCAGCATACAGTCAAAGGACCCTGTATCCTAGATAGATATCTGTATAACCAACCATGTTCATTGCTGCCCTGTTGACAAGACCTAGAAAATGGAACCAGCCTTGATGTCATCCAACAGATGAATGCATGATGAAAATATGGCATAACTACACAATGGAATTCTATTCAGCACTAAAAAAGAAAAGAAATTTGCAGGAAAATGAGTGAAACTGGAAAATACTCTACCAAGTACAGTAACCAAGGCCTGGAAAGACATGCTGTAGGACTTTTCTCATATGTGAGTCCTAGATTCAAAGTTTAAACTTCTGTGTTTAAACTGGAGTGAATATTATAGAGGCCAGGAGTCAAGGAAGCAACCATGAGGTAGAGGTGGTGGCAGTGTAGGAAGAAAACTAAAATAGGAAAAGAGTAAATTGTGTGTCACAAAGAAACAGAGGGGAAATGATGTGGTAGCACTTGGGAGGCAGAGGCAAGATAATCTCTGTGAGCTCAAGGCCAGCCTGGTCTGCAAGGCAAGTTTCAGGACAGCCAGGGTTGCTACACAGAGAAACTTTGTCTCAGAAACCAAAAAGGAAGAAAGAGGCGGGGGGGGGGGCGAATGCTGAGGTGGTGATTAGAAAAGGAACTCTTCAGTGAACTCCATCAGATTGGCTTGTGGCCATGTCTGTGGGCGTTGTATTGATTCATGATTGATGTGGGAGGGACCAGGCCCCTCTGGGTGGGGCCAGTCCTGAGCTGGTGGTCCTTCGTTATAGAATAAAACAGACTGGGAAGCCACGGAATGCAAACCAGTATAGAACAATCCTGCATTGTCTCTGATTCAGTTTCTCCTTCCAGGTTCTTGCCTTGATTTCTTGTCCTGGCTTCTCTCAATGACAGACTATAACATGTAAGCTAAAATGAACCTTTTTTCTCGCCAAGCAGCTTTCCATCAATGTGTTATCACAGCAACAAAAACCAAACTCATGTATATAATAAGACCGACTGTTGAAGAGAGCACGGCTTGTATCAGAACACAGAGAAATTAAGTTAGAAGTGGGCTGGATGCTTCCTCCCTGGTGGCCAGTGTTCATGGTGCTCATGAATGCTATGCAAGATATTAGGAAGAGAAGTCATCAACCATCTAACACCGATATGGACCATTGACTTGCCAGTCAAAATATGCCCGTGGGTACAATAGTGTCATGTATGTTCTGGGGTAACCAACTGCTTCCTAGTGGGATCTGAGTCATGCTTCATTGGAAGGAATACATGCCTCATACTATAAACATGGTCGGAATCTATGACCGGGGGAAAATTCCTAAGGTGGAATCTAGTGGTGTTTTGCTAAATGGACAATTAGTCAAGTCTGGTAGCATATACCTTTAATCCCAGCACTTGGGAAGAATAAGCAGGCTGATTTCTATGATTCTGAGGCTATACTGGTCTATATAGTGAGTCCCAGGAAAGCCAGTGCTATATAGAGAGACCCTGTACCAAAACTCAAACACTAAATGGGCAATAAAACTATCTTCTAAATACTTACATTCATAGCTAGAGACTGGCACACCTATCAGAAAAGCCCCGAGGGGATGTAAGCAACAGTTAAAGCAGGGACTCACAACACACCAGAGTTCTAAGACTCTTGAGAGCTACAAACTAACACGGAAATTTCTAAAACTCCAAGACCCAGGGAGCATTGTGGAAGCAAGAGGTGTAAAGACAGTGAGAGCTGGAATGTTGTAGAAAATTATTTTAAGATGTGTTACATTTGTTTATGCTGTGGAATATTTGTTTAATGATACAAAGATGTGTTACATTCTTTTATGTTACATTTGTTTAACTCTGAGAAGCTGTGTTACTTTGTCTGTCTAAAACACCTGATTGATCTAATAAAGAGTTGAATAGTCAATAGAGGCAGAAGAAATAACAGGTAGGGCTGGCAAGCAGAAAGAATAAAGAGGAGGAGAAATCTAGGCAGGGAAGATCAATAAGCTAGAGAAGAAGGACTCCAGGAGCTAGCCATCCAGCTATAAAATAAGCCAGAGAGTAAGAATAAAAGGAATACAGAAATAGAGAAAGGTAAAAGCCGAGAGGTAAATAGCAGATAGAATGATTTAAATTAAG